TTGATAGAAAAGCACAAAATGCTGAGACACAATTTTGTATATAATTTATATGTTACATATACAGATGTAAGTACCTACAGATGTATATTATGAACTAGAACACTGTGGATAAAGTTTCTTCCTTCCTCTCCCAGTTCCTTCCCCCGCCCTCCCTTCTTAGAGGCTACCACTAACCTGAATTTGATGTGGATGCTTCCTACACATGTAAGCATTCATAAATAATACAGAATTACTTAGCGTGTTTTTTAGAGTGTACGTAAATACTACCGCACCGTGCATCTGCAATGTGCCTTTTCACTCACCATCATTTTTGCCATTTATCTATGTAGGTCCGTAACCGGTTAATGCCTTTCTAACTACTGTACAGTATTCCATCATGTGACTATTTTGATTTCATTCTCCATTCTTCTACTGATATATATTTAGGCTGTGTTTCCCTTCATTTAAAAAATGCCTCTGGGCAGCACTCTGCAAGGCTCCTTGCGCCCTCGTGCAAGATCTTCTCTCTAGTGGAAGCCCAGAGGTGGACCCGCTGATATAATTCTACCTCACTGCTAAGTGCCCCATTGCTCTCCGAGGTAGTTCTACCGATTTCTACCGATCCCCACTTCTACCAGCAGCATCAGGAAGCTCCGTGTGCTCACATCCTCGCCAACGCTTGATACGAACACTTCTCCATGTCTGCCAATCTGATGGCGTGAAGCGGTCTCTCTCTCGTTACTGCCTCACGTTGTGTTGTCCCCATAACTCCCAGGAAGGCTGAGCGGCTTTTCTCGAGTTTACTGGGCCATTTGACATCCCTCTCCCAGTTTCTTCACCCTCCCTGCTCCGAGGCTACTACTAACCTGAACTTGAGGTGGATGCTTCACATAGGGCATTGAATTCCCTATGCATACACTTCTCCATTTTTCTACCTGGCATTTCACTTTTACTTATTGACTTATTTGATTGCTTTTTATTTTATTTTTTTAAGATTTTATTTATATGAGAGAGAGAGAGAGCACAAGCCGAGGGGGGAGGGGCAGAGAGAGAGGGAGAAGCAGACCCCACCCCCCAGCAGGGAGCCTGATGCAGGGCTTGATCCCAGGACCCTTGTATCATGACCTGAGCCGAAGGCAGAGCTACCCAGGTGCCCCGATTTAAAGCTTTTTAAATAATCTATGCCCTAACCAGTGTGTTATATGCCATAAATACTTTTTCTATTCTATTATGTGCTTTTAAACTCTGTTATGATGTGTTTGTTATACAGAACTCTTCATGGATCAATCTCTTCCTTTATTAGTTCTTTTCATGTCTCCTTTAAGAAATCCTTTCCTGTCCCAACGTCATAAAGGTATTCCACTCTGGTTATTTCTAGCTGGATTTACTGTTGGGTAGTGTGTGGTGAGGTCAGGATCTGATTGTTTTCCTGAGTCATTTCCTTCAGCACCACTGATTGAAATGCCCATCCTTCCTCATCCATCTGTAACTCTTCTGTTCGCACATACAAATTCCCACACCTGCCCGGGTTTGAGCCAATTCCACTGCTGGATGGGACCATCCCCGGGGCCAACGTCCAACTGTCATGATCACCCCAGCTTCATGGTAAGTTTTGCTCTCTGGCAGAGCACACTCCCCTCCCTTCTCAGGGTCATCTCAGGGATTCTGGGAACTTACTCTTCCATGTGAATTTTAACATACATTTGTATGATTTCATATCCCATATAAAACCCTGTTGGCACGTCAATGAAATTACATTGAATTTAGAGATTAATGGGGGGGGAATGTGATAATCAGTCCTCCCGTCCATGAACATGGCTTATACCTCCATTATTCAGACCTTTTCTTCAATACATCTCTCAAATATTTTATAATCTCCTGGTAAGTTTCACATTTTTTCAAAAACGTATTCCTAGGTATCTAACGGCTTTTATGCTAGAGTGTATTATCATTTCTTTTATCTTCTCGACAGCTGCTACTGTCGATCAAGCACCCTGTTCAATTCTGTGACTACTTATAATAGTCTCTAGGTTCTCTTGGATTATCCACAGTTATGCCATCTGTCAATAATGACGTTTGATTCTTCCAAACTTTTCTTCCTTTCTTTTCTTTTCTTTCTTTCTTTCTTTCTCTCTCTCTCTCTCTCACACATTGTGGTGCATTACCTAGGACCTCAAGTATCATGATGAATAAAGAAGTAAAAAAGAGGTTAGTTTGTCTGGTTCCTGATGATGCACATTTTTCAAAGAAGATCCACAGCCATGATCAATCTGAAAGGCTTCCATGTTCAAGAAAGGTGAATAACCTTTCACCTGAATAACCATCTCAATTACCTTTGCACCATGTAAAATACATGGAATCGGGTTATTAGTTGCATGAAAGGGAGTAAAACATTCGAACCAGACCTCAGAGCATCGCAAAGGCCCACGAGAAAAGCAGGGCTGTGAGTCAGGGCAGGTACCGGGCATAACACTAATTGCCCATTGAGGGTTTGGGGAAAGAGTCACACAGAGGACACTGAGACCAGAGAATGTAGCAGGAGACAAAGAGTGGGGAGCATAATTGTCGGAGGTGACACGCACTGTGTAGACACAAACAGCTTCCATGCCTTGCTTCCCCTCAGTTTACTTATCCATAAATCAAAGCTAATAATATCTACATCTTATTTATGAGTCACAAATTTTCCTGGCTGAAAAAGGCAAATAAGGTTTTTAAAGAGTTCTTATTGAGTAGGTAGAGGGTGGAATGCTCCAGGCCTTTTCCACATTAGTAGTTTACTTGGGGGAAGGAGGGAGAAAAGCTGGTTTTGGAATAAAGAGTAATAGGCTCTCCTTGAGTAATCTCACACACACACACACACACACACACACACACACACACACACACACCTCTGAGACTGCCCCGGATCCCCAACCAACTAATCCCCTCTGTTTGCAAAGGTCTCCACAGTGGCACCCCCACCCCCAGCACCCTGCCTCCCAAGCTGAGCCACCAGGCTACGTGCAGTCCACCCTGGCTGCACTGGACAGAGCTGGGGAGACATGGAGAGACTCCCCCAGAATGTCCCAGGTCAGGGCAGGTACATACCTGAAGGAACCTCCCCCACGGGCAAAATGAGAACAGCAGACTGCGTATGAAATTCAACTCAGGCGGGTCGGACAGAAGTTGTTTCAAAGCCCTGGCATTTTTGATTCTGGTGGACAGGAACCATGAGGGGGAATCGCCGTGTGTGCCTCTCGTGGAAATGTCCGGGAGCCTTACAGTTCAAGTTCAGTACCCCACCCCCGCTCCTTTAATTATAGGAGCCAGAAACCCAGGCACTTTGTAATTTACCGTGCAGCTCAAGAGTCACTTTTAGCTGAAGACAAATTGCCAGGCCACCTGGGCAGAGCAGTGAGGTGTATCAGGAGCCGGGGGGGGCCTCAGCAATCAATGGGGATGGAAGCCTGAGGACCACCTTCCTCAGTCTGGACCATCAGTCAGGGAGATTTAGGAACCACAGGCAGAAATGAAGCCAGTGCTGCCCAAAGGCAAAAACTTCAATCACAGAATGTCTGCAGAGACCTGAGCAGTCCATATAGATAGACAGATACAGATACACAAAAGACAGGATGGCATCCTCCCAGACACACTCGGACCTGCCATGTAGGTACAGAGCAAGCAGCAGACTCTACTTTTCCAGAAGGCCACACATTTCACATTAGCAGCGTCTGTGTGGGACTTCGGAGGCAGAAGAAATGTCATTTACATTAGGGTCACACCACACTTTGCTGGCTTCGGTCACGGATAATGATGAAACTAAATTTAACACTGCCTGACACCACAGTTTGAGTTATGAGCTGGCGCTTCCCCGCCGTTTCGCTTGATCCTCTAAGTGTATAGTTTGTAGGAGATTTGTTAACTGCGCTGAAAGGTCCCCTGGTGGGACAGCACATTTCAGTCCCCTGCAGCCCCTCCACCGGCCATAAACCAACTCTTGGCCCCACTGCCACTCTGTTGGGTTGCGGCAGGGGAAAGGGATCTGCCTTGGGGGTCCTTTGGAGTTATGCCACCTTCGCGCCCAGGGCTTGTCCTCTCTTGCTAACCCAGTAATAGCGACAGCCCGGGCCGTGGGAGGACTCTGGGCTCACTGAGCAGGGTCGAGCCCTGGCCTGGGGTTTTGCTGCCGGCCAATACTGGATCTTCCCAGCAACTGCAGCCGGTATGACCGACACCGCCCCTACAGATGAAGAAGATGGGGAAGTGACTTGCCTAAGGTCATACAGCCAGTATGCGGACAGCTGCCATTGGAACAGCGACAGAAGCTGAGAAACAGCAAATTCCAGGGGCCTGGAGGGGTTTTCAACGCAGGACCTCCCCCCCCCCCGCCTCCAGGCCCCCTGCGCCGGCTGCAGAGTCCTGAGCAGCCGGCAAAGCCTCTGACGGCTGCCTCCAGGCTCCGGCACCGGGCCGCCCTCCCTCCCCCCCGGGAGCCGCGGACACCGACGGAGCACGGGCCACCGAGACTCTGGGCCATGCGCCTCTCAGCGCCGAGCGGCGCCCGGCAGCCCTGGCGGACGCCAAACCTCTGCAGCCCCGCGCCGCCCGTCGAGGGCAGCGGGGCCGGCGTGGCGGAGCCGGGGCTCCGAGGCCAGGGGGAGCGTGGCGGGCACTGAGGACAGCGCTCGTGGGCAGAGCGCGCGGCGCCCGAGACCGGGTCCCTCTCCCGCCCCGCCGGGCAGGTGCCCGCGCCGGGCCGCTCGGCCCCGCGGAACTGCCCCCCGAGGCGCGCCAGGCCTGCGTGGACGCCACCCCCCCCAACCTCCGCGGGCCACCCGGTGGGCCCCGCCGAGCGTCCCCGGGCGCCTCGGTCAGCCACCGCCCCCCCCCCCGCCCCCGCCTCGACCGCGCGGGCCGAGCCGTTCGGGACCCCTGCCCGCGCGCGGCCGCGGCGGCGCCGCGAGCCGGAAGGAGGCGCCCCCTCGCGCCGTGCCCACCGGCGGCCGGGAAAGTTTTGGGCGCGCGGGGCCGGCCGCACTCACCTGGCCCAAGTTGAGGTAGCCGTGCGCCGCGGCCACGCGGTCCGCCGCGGCCGGGCCGCCCAGCACTTGCACTGCCCAGTGGTTGGTGTAGACGGGGCGCGGCGGCGGCGGCGCGGAGCAGGCGGCGGGCAGCGCGAGCAGCAGCAGCCAGCGCCAGGGGCGCGGCGCGAGCGGCCGGA